TCATAAGAAAAACTATTATTTGTCTTTCCCGTAGACAAGACAAGAACATGGATCCTTCAGCTGCCTATGATTTGCTGGTGGACGGTGTCCAGGACTGGGATCTTACCGGTGACTCTGTTCCTTGTGAGCTGCTGCTCATTGGCGAGACTGCCTTCCCAGTGCTGGTGAACCCCCAGGGGCAGGTCCTGATCGCCGCCTCACAGTATGGGAAGGGCCGGATGGTGGTCGTCTCTCATGAGAGCTACCTGGGGAGCCCCAAGATGGCTCGGTTCCTACGCAATGCTGTGGGTTGGCTCAGTCCCTCCCCAGGAGCAGTGGTTGGTGTCCAGAAGAGCTTGAGCTCCCTGCTGAGTATTCTCAGTAGTTCTGGCACCCGAGTGCAGCCCAGTGAGGAGCTCATTGCCTCATTTGGGGTTTACTGTATGGATGCCTATGATGCTGCACAGGGGAGGGAGCTGATCCAGTTTGTGAAGAGAGGAGGAGGTCTGCTCATTGCGGGTCAGGCTTGGCACTGGGCCTCTGGACACAGAGCAGAGAGAGTGCTGTTTGATTTCCCTGGGAACCACGTAACCAGTGTGGCTGGCGTTTATTTCACTGATATATACGGTGAGACGGGGATCTTTAGTGTCTCAGACAAAGTGCCTGCAATTCCCTTGATCGCTCCGTGAGTATCTGAAATCATTTCCTATGTATTAAAACTTGCTGTTAAAACTGTAAGAAAATTACTCCTGGGGGATTTCTATGCCACTGCACATGTGCAGAATTTATGTTCCCTGCAGATTTCATTGCTTCCATGCAGAAAAATGACTTTCTGACAGGGAAGCAAAAGGAAGCCACAAGAACAGTCATGAGATCCTCCCCAGCAGTATGTTTTGGGTGCCCAGGGCAGCTGACAGAGAGGTAAATCATTGTGGGGCAGGGGGCAGGACTGGAGAAGACCCGACTGGTGGCTCCTACCCTGCGCTGGACTCAGCTGCTAGTCCCGACTGGGCTGGAGAGGATGGGACTTCCTCCTCCCTTACACGGCATCCAGAGTCATGTCAGACCCATTCCTAGATTTCTCCCCTTGGTGTAGGAAGCTCTGCAAACACTCCCCCTACTCCCGTGCCTCATGCACCCATCGCTCCTTAGCTGCAGGGGGAGGGATGCCTGTACAAGGAGCTGCTCCCCCATCACCCAACCCCTGTACATCCAGAGCCCCTCATACCCAGACCCTCCTGACAAGCCCCACTCCCCCTGCATCTGGACCACCCCGATGAGCCACCCACACCTGGATTCCCTACCCCACTGAGCCCCACTTCCCCCGGTATCTGGACACCCCCCCACAAC